ACTAGTAGTTAAGTTGAACTGATAACTAAAAATCCTATGTTGAATTTTATTTTATTATTTTTTTTAAATTAAGTTTAATTGAAAGTTTTATTATTATTCCAAGCGATACTGAAGTTCTGGATCTAGTTGATTATTATAGCCAATAAGATTATTAAATTTTAATTCTATTAAAGATTAAATTAAGCTCTATTAATAAGAATTGATCAAATTTAAAGTTAAATAAATGTAGCTAACCCAAAACTGTTAGTATGATCGAGCAAATTAATTAAAGGTGGGTCCTTAACAATTTTGAACCAGTAATATTAATGTGAATGTGAAGTTGAAAAAAATCTTTATTACCTGTGATTGATGAAGCAAACCCAAGTCAAATATACAGCAAAAATTACACACGTAAAAATCACATTAACTTCCAATATCCATGCAATTTTGGTACTGCGTCTAATATGAGTATTCAAAATTGATTTTTGTTCTTCATCTCCATATTTTTCTATAATATTTGAATCCTTATATATCTTCTCAAATAGCTTCTCGAAATCTGATCCATGTTTCATAAGAGTCCATGATTTTGTCCATACAGTTGAGTATAGATCAAATGTGCCTCCAGTTAATGTTATTCTTGTAATTTCATTTCGATGTTGAATAAAAAATATTATTTGCGATACATTGTATAGTAGAAAAGTTATTATAGACACATACCCCTTAAAACGAGTTATAAAACATGTGTTATTGTTTTTAAATTTTACCTATCCGACCCAGTTCAATATAACTAAAGGAAAATGCAGAATTCCGGAATTTAAAACTTTTTTATCCATTTTACTTTTCAAATGTATGTAAAAGTAAGTAGTACTCTCAAGATATCTCGGCTAAATATTTTGCTATTATTTTCTCGTTTTTAATTATCATTAATAATTGAACTAAATGGTAATTAGAATGTACATCATTTATTTTAGTCCATAAACCATGTAGTCATTTAGTTCAAGTAAGGGCATCATTAGCAATTGAAAGGGTTGTATGGAATGTATGACATATAAAACATTTTTTATTACTAAATATTTTTGATAAATTG